CAGCATAGTCTCCTGGCAGTTTGACGACCCAATATTTGTCTTCAAAGTACATCGCAAGCACTTGAAGCCCTGGCACGAAGTCTTCCTAGCGACTGTATCCCTGGGGAACCAAGGCTGCTGCTCAACCCTGTCGCTCCCCGCAACCACCAGCGGGCAGGGAGTACGGTCCCCTCGCTAGAAACGGAGCCGGGGACTCCGAGTGGCCGGGCGTCCGACAGGGCCTGGCCGGCAGGTGATCGGGCCAGAGCTCGCCTCCGCTGGTGGCAACCACAAGTGGACAAGTTCTGAGTCACGTGTCCGCTGCTGCTGTGGGCCGTGTGGCTGGTTCTCCATCTTCCAGCCTCCGGCCAAGCTCAGCAGGTGGGGCACGAGGGCCCGGCTGTGCCACAGCCCTCCCCACGCAGTGGGAAGGTGGAGGCAGGCCACCTAAAGGCGATCGGGGGGAGTTCGCGGAGCCCAGCGATGTCCCTTCTTGTTCCTGTGACACCAGCTCCCGCGAAGCCCCTGGTGACCGGCCTCTGCTCCCTGCTGCTCCAAGCGAGGGCGGCACAGCTATAGCTGGTCCTTTGGATTCAAGTATTAGCGAGGTTTTAGTATCACCTCCTTTAAGCTGTAATTCAAACAGATAGATGCTTTTTAATTGCCATCTGTGTGGTGAGCTCCACAGTAAGAAAATGAGGGTCTGCTTTAATTAGAGCTGCCCCGGCTGACCTATGTCAGAGCCCCGCGGCTGGGACGGCGAGCCACGGACTCAGGCGCGGGGGGTGCAGGACGGTTCCGTGTGAACAGATACAGACGCGCACGTAGCTAGAGCAGGGTCTCTGCGTGCGCACACGGGACGCAGCCGCGCACGCGTGTGGCTCTACGTTAGCAGGTCAGCTGATCTCCTTGATCACGAAGACTCTTCCTTTGATTGTCTTTTGAAGTCTGCCTCCCCCCGTGTTGCCCTGATTCCCCTGATTCCCCTGAAAGCTGCCTCACCCTCCAGCAGCGCGGAGGGCAGGGCTACAGGAGCGTGGGATTCCCGGGGTTTCTAGAGGGAACGTGGTGGTGACCTGGCACCTGCAGGGACTCCGGGGTCGGAGTCCCCAGAGCCTGGGCTGGGCTGGAAGGGTGGGACCAGGCGCTTCCCCTCACCCACCCCACCCTGCCATTGCCCCGTTGCCCTGTGACCGCTGCGTGCCCTCCCCAGTGAGGCCCTTCCCTTTGCCCCGCTGCACCCAACCTAGAAGCAGGAATGCCAGAGAATTCCTCTCTTCCCCTCCCTCGTCCTCTCTCTCTGTCTCCTTCTCTCTTTCCCTCCCTTCTCCCTCCCTCCTGATCCTCCTCCCTCTCTTCCTTCCTCTTCTCTCTCCTGCTTCTCTCCCCACTTTCCTCCCTCCCTCCCTCTTCCTCCTTCCTCCCCTTCCTCCTTCTCCCACCCCACCGTCAGTCGTCAGTCGGTTCTAACTCCGGCTAACTCCGGCCCCTCGGACGCCGTGGTCGCAGCGGCTCAGCGGTGAGACCTGGTCTCTAACTTGTCATGAACACAAGTAATCACGAAAACAAACTGGAACGGCTAACTGTGATAAAACCTAATTTGGGCACATAAACTAGCATTCTTCAAGTTGCAATTGAAAACCCAAAGACAAATTTGAAGAGTTCTCCCAGAAGATACGGAAAACAGAAGAAAAGATGAGAACAGATACAGAAGCGGAGATGGATGGTGGGTGAATGCGGACGAGACAAATGCGTTTGGGAGAAACCCTCCCCTCCCCCACCAAGAAAGCAGCAAAGAAAGAAAGAAAGAGAGAAGTTAACCAGGAGGGTAGCAAGTTCTTGGGTCAGCAGGCTGCGGGCCGTGTGGACATTCCGAGCACTGACAGCGCCCCTGCACACCTCTGGGGGTAGCGGCTGTGTGGCCTCTGGGCCTCCGTGGTCTTGGGGACATGACCTCCCTCAGAAGACGTGCCCAGCAGTGAAGGGCGTTTCCCAGGGGAGCCTCGTGCAGGGCCTGGCTGGGGCTGGGCATCAACAGACCAGGGGGATGATCCAGCGGGGACTGTCCCTGCTGCCCTCAGGCCTCCTGGGCGGTCAGGTGGCGCCCTGTGGCCCCGCGGTGAGCAGTGAACACTTGGGTCAATGCACTTGTTTCCTTTCTAGCCCTCCACTCCGACACTGTGAATGCACATTTTTCTAGAGCAAATGAACAGAAGTAAATTAGGTCTGAGACCTTGATTTCCTGAGATAAATTTCCTAGAGGAAACGTCTGCCAGTGACTTTGTTAAAATAAAACAAAACCCAAACAAACAAACAAACAAACAGGTTCTAAGAGGAGGGAGGGACTCCAGTGCCAAATCCTGGCTGCTCGCCCCAGGGCCGGGCACGGAGGGCAGGCTGGGCCCCCCGCGAACTCTGTCCTGCGCCCAGGAAGCCGCCTCCTGGCTGGGTCATGGGGCGATTCTGCTTTCCTGCGGACGGTCGGGCGATCGCTCCTCCCCAGCTCCATTCCTGTTCTCCCATCTCTCCCCTTTGTTCTTGAAAGGACGGCGTCCAAGGTGGTTTCCTTGTGGACAAAACCCGGCACCCGCAGACGCAGCTGCTTCCGGCTTGTGTGACGGGGCAGCAAGCAGGAGCCTCACGCTCAGCTTCGCTGACGTTGAGAATGTGGGCCAAGCCGGATTTGGAGTCTGCTTGCTGCTCATTAGTATGTAATTTAATTGTTGAATTTTTAAATATTATGAGATACTTAAATGAGTATTTCCTCATAGTATTACAATGTTCAGTTGAATATTAGCTGTTTGCAAAATGCTTCTTTCAAAACTATGATTTAATAAAAGAATTTATTTTAAAAAGCCAATCAGCCTGTGTCGCAGTGTGAAACTCGAACATGTTGTCAATGCATTGTTTTTTTGTTTTGTTTTGTTTTGTTTGTTTTACGAGCTAAGTATTTTTATTAAACCCATTCTATCCATGATATGGGTGGGGCGCAGAGAAGTAAATCCCTTGCTGAAGGTCACACAGCTACGCAGTAGTAGTGCTGACGTCTGAATCTTAACGGCACGGTGTCCATCTCATAACTACTGGGCTCTTTATTCATAGAAAGGGAGCATAAAAAAGCAAAAGACAAACTCCAAAATCTCATTATAGCAAGTAATTTCAACTATTTTCTCCTCATTAAGACTCTGACTGCTGGTCATTACCAGAAAGACAGTAGGAGAAAAGACCTAGATGACAACGCTACATCATCAATGCATTGTTTTAATTTGCGTTTCAGTAGATTTTGTTGTGCTGTCCTCAGTCATTGGGGTTTCTCTTTTTATTTTTTGAGTACATTTCATGATGATCATGGGGTTTCTACTTTACCCAGACACATTGGTTTTTCTTTTCTTCTCCGTACACAAAATGAATTACATTTTCGCACATTTAAGATGCGACTACGTCGATCCTAATTTCTCTCTACCGTTTCTTTCATTTTTCCTTGAATTCGTGTGGGACCATCGTACTCGTCTTGCGTTACACTGACTCACTTCAGCCCAGCAGGACACAAGAGCACAACCTCTGTGGATGCTGGTCACATTAATGAAGGGCGTTCACGTTAGGAGGCAGATTCTCCGCATCCAGCTTTCTCGCTGTTCACAGCATCGTGGTCAGAAACGAGAACCTGGAGCTCGGAAACGTTGCGCAGGCACATAAGAAAGCGTGATGGTGGATGTAGTGATGGGGGCATTTACGGAGCTCTCCCGGCGTGCCAGGTCCCTTCTGTGTATCATCCAGGTTAGAGACGGAAAAACGCCGGGAAACAGCGAGCTCAGGTCATGAGGTGGTAACTGGGAAATGATTCAGCAACCCAGGTCCGCCTGGTTTCAGATCTGGTACCACAAAACATTGGATAGGTTGGTTGAGTCACTTGTATAACCCAATTAGTCCCGGAGACTCGGGGCACACGGCAGTGAGGACGTGCTCTTTCTTGTTCCCAGCTTTCCTCCTTCCTTCTCCCTCCCTCCTTCTTTCCTTCCCTCCTTCCCTTTCTCACTCCTGCCTTCCTTTTTTCTTTTGTCATTTGAATCAACAAACCAGAAGTGACCAGTAGAAGCAGGTGGGATTGTCCCTGCTCCGGAAGGAAGGAAGGAAGGGTGCCCATTCCGGGGCTTGTGGTGCCCATTCGGGGGCTTGTGCCGTAAGACTGAGGGCGAGCTCGTAGGAACGTTTGAGGGAAATTACTAAACCCCAAGGAGGAGGTAGGGAGAAGTTCTCCTGGGTTTTTGTTTGTTTTAATAAAAGTTCTCCTGTTTTAAGTGGCAATGTTGAAGAAGACAACTTCGTCCTCTTTCTGGGAACTGATGATTTTAAATCTTCTGTGGTCTCTGCCGTTGTGGTCTTGGCAGACACACGTGTTCAAACAGTCACTCACGGCCTGTGTGGGTGACGTCATTCCTTGAGAAGATGAAGTCTACCGAGAAAGGATTTACAGCTCAGTCCCCAAGGCTCAACAGAGCAGACAGGGCCAGCTGGTTCTCAGACCACAGGAAGGGCTTGTGGAGTTTGGAGGAAATTGGCCCCAGTGACCCCCTTGTTTCTCACCGAGCTCAGCTATCCATGGGAAGCTGTTCGGACAAAGGGAGTAGACACAAGAGTCGCTCCAGGTGTTACGTGGCCGTCTGTGGAGCTGCTTAACTGAATCGTTGGTGTGACCTTGTTATTCTGCAAGGAGCCTGGAGGGATTCTGGACCTGAGAACAGGGGTTCTAGAACCTTCTCCGGTCTGGCCGAGCCCACTCCACAGACGGGATTGGTCCCTGACTGCACCACCTGAGAAGATCCCTGGGGAGAACCTTCCTCAGAGCCAAAGCAGAGGCCCCACGTTTGCGAGAATGCTTCCCAGGGGAGCCCTTGTCCACAGATAGGACGGAGGATGCCTGGATCCTGGCGGCCACCACAGGGTTCCTGTCCACGGCTGCCACCTCCCCTCACGTGCTGGTGAAATCATAGGTGCTTTACACTGTGGTTCGTGTTTTGCAGATGGAGAAATGGAGGCACAGGGAAATTAAGTAACTTCGCCTCAGTCCCAAGCTGGGGAGGACCAGGAAGAGAACGTAGAGGGACCCTGACTCCGGGCCTGTGTCCTGCCCACGGAGCCACGCTGCCTCCCTTCCTGGAAGAGAAGACGCCCCACAAGGTACAGTGTGGCCCCTTCCCCCTGGTGGCATGAGGTCCGCACCAGGCGGGACAGCCCTGTCCACACCGGGTGAACTCACCCTGGTGGCTCATGGTCCACATGGGGCGGGACAGCCCCGTCCACACTGTGTGCACTACTGACCAGGGTGAGATGTGGCCTAGACCACTACTGTCAGTACAACCTCCTCCTCCCAGGACGGGAGCTCTCGCTCCTCCCCAACCCCCTGCTGTTCCTCGCCCGCCGTCTTCCCTGCACCAGCCCAAGAGTGTGTCTGTTTGGTCCTCCCGCTGCCCCATCCGCCTGCCCGCTTCTCCTGTCCACTGCCTGTCCCCCTCCGCGGAGCAGACCCACCCTGTCCTGGGCTTGACAAAAGAAAGAGAGACACTTTCTTCATCCCCAGAAGCTGTTTTGGGACCCCCTCTCCCTCGCTGCCCGTCCAGTGGAGCCTGTGGAAAGCAGGCTGCTGTCCCAGCTGCCCCGAAGCTCCACTCAGATCCCACACTGACCTCACGAGCACCGGCTCCAGGGGTGTTGGGGCGGGAGGGGCTTTAAGCACCAAGCAGGCCCACATCCCAGCATCTGTGCACGGAACTTCCACGGGTGGACCCCAGCAACGCGGTGCTGCCCACGCTCGTCCACTCCCTAGGGGGCTTGACGTGGGGACCAGTGAACTGCTCTCAGGGCTCCCCCCAGAACCCTGTGGTCAGAACTAAGTGTGCCTTCCTCCCCCTCACACCCCTCTAGAACTTTCTCTCTTGCTTTCTGCCACATGCTGTTTCTTTCGGTCCCTTCCCAGCACTCGGAGAGCCCCATCATCTTCGGTTGCTGCGTGGTATCCCACACCTGCCCCCCGAGAGCCCGGACGTGACGTGGGTCTCATCGGTGGCAGAGTTCTTCCCTTGAGGAGGAACCCTGACCCGCATGTGGTGTCCCAATAGTGACAGCCTAGTGAGGGCAAAATGACAAGCAGCCACGCAGCTGAGGTCACGAGACAGCGGGGGCCAGCATGCCGTGCTGCACACTCTCACCTTCCCCCGGGGGGTTAGGAGCTCGCCCGCCCACCTGGCCCCACCTGGTCCCAGTGGGGACCCTGTCCTGCCTGTGTCCTTTCTAGCAAACTGAGGCTCCAGGGCCAAAGAGATGCAGTAAATGGAAGAACCCACGCTTCGTGCTCGGGGTTCCAAGTGCAAACCCTTCTCCCTGAAATTCATGAACGTCTCCCATTGAATCATTTCTGAAACACTTTAATTTCTGAACATTTCCTGCGGAATTGTGTGGTTCCTCTTCCCCTGAGCACAGAAACGCCTCCCACGTAGATAGAAGCTTCTCTAATTCGTCTTTTTTCTTTTAGCTTTGTTCTCTTCTTAAAAAAAAAAAAAAAACCAAGGAAAATAAATTTTTAAAGAAAAACTGGATTTTAAATGTACAAGTCCCCAATTATACGATAAATAAGTCACAGGGATGAAAAGTTCAGCGTAGGCAATGTGGTCCGAAGGATGGAAGCTTCTCATGGCGACAGACGGCGACCGCACACCCAGGAGCCTTTCACAACGTGCACGGACGTGGGGCCGCCGTGTCCCGCTCCCAAAACAGTTTTGTATATTGAATATACTTCAACTTAAAAAGAGGAACTGGCTTAGAAAGTTACAAATTAGAAAACCACCAGGATCATTTGAAACACTTATACAAATGGACCCTTCTATTACTATTTCTCTAGATCAAAACGTGTTTGAATTTTATTTTTTGTGTTTTATCACAATTCCGGTCCAGGGGATGCGGAAGGGAAGTCAAACGCAGCCTCTGCTAATGAGTGCAGGACGTTAATTACTTCTTCTAGAAGCTGTTTGGTCACGTGCGGGTTGTACATCCCTCTAAAGGGTCGCGTGGTCTCTCACTGCGCGGCGGCCTGAGGGGGTGCAAGGGACTGAGCAGGTGCTCACAGAGAAGGGGCCGCGCTTGTCTGTGGGCTCATGCGGCAGAGGGTGTGGAGTGGACGCTACGCGAGGCTGCACCGCAGCCCGGAGGAGGACGGGCCGCTGAGGAGGGGGCCCAGCTGCCCCTGAGAGGGCCCAGGAGGCCCCGGGCACTGACGTGAGGGCGGTGAGCCCCCAGGAATCCACAAGCAAGCCCTAGAGCCCGGTGGCTCTTTCCGAGAGGCTGACGGGGTCACCCGCCTCCTTTCACATGCGTGGGGGGATGCGCAGTGCGGGGAGACATGCCCACCAGCAAGATGGGCAGAGATCGACGCGCAGGTGCAGGAGGAGCTACTGCAGATCCACGGGGACGTTGTAAAACTAGGCAAAGGGTGAGCAAGAGAAAGCAGAACCAGAAGCAGAAAGCAGGGGGCGCGGGCGGGAGAAGACGCGGAGCCTCCGCGGTGGTCGGGGAAGGAGAGCGTGGGCAGCGATGAGATACGACGCTCACGCGGCAGAGACGAGGCCCCGCGCTCCGCGGCTGTCGGCTGTGGGAGACACAGGGACAGTCACGCGTGTCTGCACAGCGCATGGATCTGCGCATCTTCTGGAAGGACTGACGATGTCCTCCTAGAAAACCGTGTTACGGAAATCCGCAGAAGCCGCGTGGGCTGCTCCTGCGCTTCTCTTTGCAGCAGAATAAAACCGAACGGTGCCGTGAGTGAGGGAACTTCCGGAGCTGGATGGCAGATACGGCACAGGACACTCCTTCTGGGAATTTCGACCCAGCATCCGGAAACACGAGCTGAACCCACGGGCCTTGGCCGGGAGCGAGCCGGAGTTTTCGGAAGTGAAAGAAGCAAGCGCGAGCGTGTGTGGCGTGGGGTCCGCGCGTGGAGGCCGTGGGACGCGCTCTGCGTTCACGAAGCTCCAGGCTCTGCACAGAGCGCCACCGGCGCGGAGCTGGCTGGAGGATAGAGGGCTCCGCGCGGCTCTACCCCCGCCGCACCCTGGAGGCGTCCCCATGTGTCCCCTCTGCCCATCTCCCACCCGGTCCTCAGGAGAAACAGGGAAGACAGGCAGACGCCGCTGCTGACTGAGGCAAGGGAGCGCGTCTGCAGGGAAGCCTCGCGGGTTCTCAAGCTGGCGACGCCACGCGGGAAGCGGGAGGACGGTGTCACAGCGGACGACGCGACGGAAAGGGTCCGGCATGGACAAGATCATCCCTGTGACCTGCCCGAATTGTCAGGGTTTGAACTCGTGCCGCACCCACGCGGGGGAAGGCCTGGCGGTGAAAACCAGAACGTGAGGAGTGATTTGACGGAGGAACAGAGTAAAGACGAAAGTCAATGTGATCTTAAGGTTTCCAAAGGGAGGGACAATCACTTCATTTATTCAGTAAATCTCAGCTGGGACCGACGCTAGGACATGACAAGGTCCCTGCTCTTGAGGTCTTGCCACTCAAGGAGTGGCAGCCGACCCACCAGTGGCTGAGAGAGCCCCACGCAATGCTGAGGAGGGGAGCAGGGAGGGGGTGGACGCAGGGACAGGGAGGAGGGACGCGGTGGTTCGGGAGCCCCTGTGCAGACAGAGAGGCTGACCGCGGCTCTTGGATGGGCCCGCTGGAGATGGCTATGCGGTGGAGGCCCCTGCACGTGCGGTCCAGGCTCCCGGAGCCCGCGGTCAGGGCACTGTAGGCACATCCCCGGGGTGTGGCTCGGGGACGGAGCCCTGCAGGAGTCCGGGAGGCCGAGGCTGGCGGGAAGCCAGCAACAGCAGCAAGTGCTGTCCTGAGGGATGAGGATCCGTGAGGTGGTGGGGCTCTAGGACACCGTCACTGCCAACCTGTGCCGTGTCACCCAGCAGGATGCACCCACCTGAAAGGTCTCGTTACACAGTGTGGCAGCAAAAGAAGGAGAGAGGGGGTGATTGCTAAAGTCAACAGACTTCAAGGGCAGAGGGGGCCTGAGCCTAATGGAAAGCAGAAGAGCCAACTGAGAGGAGCAGATGGAACATTCTAGAAAAGAGGGCATGGGGGGGGGAGCCCCCCAGAGTCCCCTGCTGGGAAAGAGATCCCCAACACCAGGGATGGTGGAGGCGGTGTCATTGAGGGTGTAGCCTAGGGCCGGGAGCAGTCTAGGAGCCCAGCCATGCTATCTGTCCTGGATGGCGGACGCTGGCCCAGCTCTTCCACCTCCGTAAGTCCTGGCCTTTGCCATCCACCGGTCACGCCAGCCACTACCAGGCAGGAGCCAGAGGACACAGGGAGCCTGTGTGGCTCAGCACCCAGCCTACGGTCAAGATGTGGAGGTGGCCAGAAGAGTCCTGAAGGCAGGCTGGCAGTGAGGGGGTCAGAAAGAGGCAGATACCAGGCAAGCATGGAGCACCCCGCTCATGTAGGAGCAGAGACGCAAGTCAGAGGACAGGGGTGGCAACGGGGTCTCCTGACGGGAGGACCGGGCTAGCTAGATCTACAACGGCCTACGGTCGTGGATTTGCTGCTCTCCCTGCCCTAAGACCGAGCAGCATGTGGAAGGGACACAGTGACCGCCTTGCTCTGCCTGAGATGCAGAGCTGGATGCCCGGAGCCCTGGACACCTGGAGCCCTGGTTGCCAGGAGCCCCTGGATGGCCAGAGCACTGGACACCAGAACCCTGAATACCCAGAACCCTGGACAGCCGGAGCCCTGGACCCCCGGAGCCCTGGACAGCTGGAGTCCTGGACCCCCGGAACCCTGGACAGCTGGAGCCCTGGACGCTGGAGCCCTGGACCCCCGGAACCCTGGACAGCTGGAGCCCTGGACACCTGGAGCCCTGGATGCTGGAGCCCTGGATGCCAGAGCCCTGGATGCCCAGAGCCCTGGACTTTGTGTGAACCCCGCACAGCATGCTCGGCTGACCAGGTGACGCCTGGCCCTTCACACTAATGCTCTTTGGCTCCATGGAATGAGTTTTCCCAGAATGCTGGCAAAGCCGTTTTCTCATTCCATCTCCCAATGTCCCCCGGACCCACATGGCTGCTATGACCCACACACTTAGAATTTAGAGCCTGGGGATGCGCCCGGTTAGCTCTGTGTCCAGGGTCGTG